CTCCACATCTACTGTTTTGTAGAGTGGCTCCTTATAAAAATCAACAATTCCCACTTGTTTCCAGGGATTGGATTCCCAGCCAGGGAGCTTTGGATACACAGCTGGGGCCGGGGGCTCCTTCCCCTTTTTCCATCTGCAGTGTCAGCTCTGGCATTGCCAGGGTGGCCACAGTGTCCCATCCCACCAGGATCTGAGTGTCCCATCCCAACACAATCCATGTGTCCCATCCCACCAGGATCCGAGTGACAAGGATAAGAGGCCACCTCCTCCTTGAGACAATTCCTCAGGTTTTCCAAGGAGGGAACAGCCCCAAATGGGTTCAGGATTCCATTTCCCCTTAAAAACAACCTAACTTCTCCTTGAGAAAATTCCTCAGGCTTTCCATGGAGGGATCAGCCCCAAATGGGTTCAGGATTTACCCAATTAACCATTTCCCCTTAAAAAAACCCCAGATCCTCCTTGAGACAATTCCTCAGGCTTTCCAAGGCAGGACCAGTCCCAAATGGGTTCAGGGTTCCATTTCCCCTTCAAAACAACCCAACTCCTCCTTGAGACAATTCCTCAGGCTTTGCAAGGGGGGACCAGCCCCAAATGAGTTCAGGATTCCATTTCCCCTTAAAAATCACTCAGCTCCTCTTTGAGACAATTCCTCAGGCTTTCCAAGGGGGAAACCAGCCCCAAATGGGTTCAGGATTTACCCAGTTAACCAAAATAACCGACCAGCAGAGCCAGGCACCACCACAGACCCCAAACCCACCCGCCCCAGAGCACGACCCCGCTCGGGGTCAGAGGGACAAACTCCCCTGTCGGGGACAGAGGGACAAACATCCCTCCGGACACCGGGAGGGGGCAGAGGAGAGAGGGACAATCACCCCGGCGGCCCCGGGGCTCGTGGAACCGGCGCGTTCATCTTTTATTCCAGCCTTTATTCCAGCCTTTTATTCCAGCCTTTATTCCAGCCTTTATTCCAGCCGGCTCCCTCCCTCCCTGACCGCGGTGCCAACCCTCAGGCACCGCGACTGGAAAACAATGTGACGGAAATGTTTAATCTGCTCAGCCCATCTGTGCCGCGTATTTCTGCAGATCTCCCCGAGAGAGGCGCCTTCCGAGTCTCCACATTGCCTTTAATATTCTCCTAAATCACCTCCCCACCGCACTTCAAGGGCCATTGCTACAATATCACAGGTTCATCGAGAGTGCACGGCAGAAGGGGAGGGAGGGAGGGAGGGCTGGAAGGTGCGGGCTGGGGGATTTTTTTTTTTAATTTTAAAGTCTTTCCCGGGGCCGGTGTCCCTGTGCCCTCCCCCCTCGGACAGGAGAGAGAGAGAGGAGATAAAATAAAATAATCAGGGGGGAAAAAAATCCAAGGGAAGTTGTGGTGGCGTCGCCGGTGATTCGAGGGGCTGTTTGGAAGCAAACAGGCTGGAATGGGGAGAAAATCATTCCCAAAGAATCGCTTTCATCGAGCTCCTTCCTCTCCTCCCTCCAGAGGGTCCCGGCCCGCTCCGAGCTCCACGTGGAAAATGGGTGTGGATGCTCAGATGCCCCAAAACAACATCAGCACAGGGTGGGCACAGCACTCCTGGGTGCCCCCAGCCTGGCACA